ATATATATATTATTCTACCTCTCCTTCTCTATTACTAACATTAGTAAATATTTAAATCTAAATTATATATTTAATAATGTTCATTATTAATAATTATATAAATTATTTCTATACATTTTTATATATATTTACTGTATGATCACTGTCCTCCTATTGTGGGGAGGGAGGACAGTGCTTATACTATATTAAAATACCCTTGTCTCTTGTCTCTGGGTTCGATTCGGATTTCAACTCAAACTTTATCTTGACACCCTGCTGGGTTTCAGAGCCGACGACCGACCAGGAGTGCAGTCAGGAGTGCGGGAGGAAATGGGGGTCAATTGTCCGTGAGGGCAAAAATATACCGATCAAAACTGGGAAAATGGGGAAGGGGCCTGACGGAAAGCCAGAATGTGAGTGCATGTACAGCGGCTCTCTTTACTTTGTCATACGTAAGGCGGGCCTCGACTTGAAGGCGTTCCAAAAAGAAGAGCAGGACTTCGGGAAGGCCATATCGTGGTTACGGCAGAACGGTTTCAAGTTAGCGGAAGACCCGGATTGCGATGAACAGTGCAAGAAGGATAAAGGGAGCATCGTGGAAGGGGACCCACCCACGAGGGTACCGATGAAGACTGGTGGGCGCATGGAGGTGAACAAAGACGGGCAGTTAAAATGCAAGTGCACATACAGCCAAGACTTCTATAGTGTCCTGGAGCGTGCAGGAAAAAGCGTAACCGCATTCAAAGAGTGCGAGTTTGACGATCAGGCGGCCAGAAAATGGTTGATGGCTAACGGGTTCGAGCGGCGGGTCACCTCTCGGGATAATAAAACTCCCTCGGGACACCCCTCGGAAAAGGGAAAGGAGGTAAAATCGGAGGAACCGGAGGTCGAAGAGTGGGTGCAATCGAAGGGCAAGGCGGTTCAAAACGAGGAGAACCCTCCGCCCGCGAAAAGGTTCGGAGAAGAACTCACGAGGATGTGTCATGCCCAATGCCGACGACTTATGGGATTGGTCGACTTCGATGATGGTGTGGGTAAGAGGCCGCTCTCATTGGGTAAGATAAAATCATATAGAAAAAAGGATTCGGAAACGGATGAATTGAAGTGTCATTGCGGATTAAACTCTCAAGTGCTTGAGATCCTAAGAAAGAAAGGTCGCGATCTCTATAAAATCAAAGAGGCATTTAAGGGAGGGCAGGAAAAATTTATACCGGAGTTACTAAGGCAGGGTCTCACAGTTTACCTGGAAGACGGAGCGTCCCCGGGTGGATACAAGGAGTTGCCACCGGAAATAGCTGCCATCCCTCCAGGACAACCCTCCTCGTCGGGAGGCTCGTCGACCTCGAGTGGACGCGGGCCGTCGCGATCGGCCTCCCGTGAAAAATCCTTCGAGGTAATGAATACAATTAAGGAGGGGGAGGAGGAGGAGCAGCCACCATCTCCACGTAAAAAGACGAGAAGATCCGCACCACTTCCCGGTAAATAGAGTTAGAGGGATCATCAAGATTTAAGGTGGTTTTTCAGCACTTCGGATAACGAGACGATAGTCGATCCATACACTGAAAAAAAGGTATCAACTATACTTCTAGAGGATTTTGGCCCCAGCCATAAGAGTAGTTGCACTGGCTAGAAGTGTGTAGGCACGAGCCAGCGGTAAAGTTAATGCTGACCGTGACCATGGGCACCAGCTAGAAGTATGGTTGATCCAACCACACTTCCAGCTGACTTGACCATACCTCTGGCTTGTGCAACTGCTGTAATATCTGGCGCTAAAATCAGCTGGGAGTATAGTTGGGATTGCGATACTTTTTTTTCGGTGTAATTTCCAGATTTTAGGTCATTTTTTTAAAATTCCAGAGCATAACGGCACGTTCCTACGGTCTAGTGAGCCAGGAATTTGTAACAGCAAAATTTGACCGAGAGACGTTTTTGAATGGCTTATAAAAATATGTTACGCGTAAGCATTGACCGTATTCCTGCTAAACGGAACTAGAGACGTGTGGGAATTATAGGGTGTGCTCGAATCGTTCGGGCTGGATTCGTTTTTGGGAAATGGAAAAGCGGGAAAAACAAAATTTAAAAAAAAAATCGATAAAAATTAAATAGGAGAAATGAATGTGCTCTGTAGTTGGTATTATTTTCCTTCAAAATGTAAAATAAATTGCACATATTTTATGTTGTGTGCTCAAATACTTTGTGTTGGTCTGTTGTATGATGATTAGGAACACGTTGTTAGGTAATGTTACGATATTTCCCAATTTCCTCTTGGTATGTCATGGAATTTGGTCAGACTTAAGAGTCAATGAAAATGTCGAAGACTGATGCAACCAAACAAAACAAGTTTCACTCAGATCTGTTCGACAGACACCAAGTTAGCATTTTTTGTTTTGTTTTTGTCACCACGATGGAAAAACCTAGCGCAATCTGAGATGAGCGGTTAAGGATCTATTTTTTCGAGAACACAAGAGATAAAAGGATGCAGGAAGCGGAACCATTAGATTTTTGCCGGCAAGAAAGGAGTGGTGAAGACCCTCAAACTTCAAATGTTTAGCATTAACCTTGACAAAAACCGAAATTGTGTGTTCTCGAAATATGAAAGACACCATGCATTTCCATCCTTCGCATGATTCTTTAAATATAAAAATGTCATGAATTGAAATGCATACCTCCAAAACACAGTATTTTTTGGGAAAATGGCTAACCTACGTTTGGTCTCGTTTTTATGCTATTGGTTTAAGTCAAGTTCAAGTCAAGTTGGTGGAGGCCGCTATTCGTTTTAACATTGAACATGATAGCAAAATGAGCAGTATACGTGCATAACTATGCAGCGCATTTTAAAATTATTAAGGAATGGAGGAACTAGAAACAGAAATAAATTAATAATAACAGAATCAGTAAGGTAAAACCTAAGTTACATTTCGGAAAAAAATAATTTAAGAGTAATTTTGAACATAACTGGCTGTGAGAGAGAAAGAATACGAGGGTGAAAACGTTGAGCCTTATGGAGGAAGATATCTTAAGAAACATTGGTTTCGATCTTGATGTCGCTTGGTTCCTTCCTATTAAACGCACTTCAAATATTCAATCACCATAAGTGGTACTAGAGCACGGACAAAATCTGGTGGGGATCAAGGCCACAACGCCAACACTGCCTTGCTAAGGAAGAACGCCGTATGATCATTCGATAGTTGCCAAATTTTTCCCGATAAAACGTTTATTCTTGAGGAAAGTTCTGAATATTTGTCCCAGAATTGTTCAAGCAATTGAGATAAAGTTACGAACAAAATTATCTGAGAAATTGACAGAAAAATATGGAAAAAGTTTCCTGTAAATTAGCGATTTGTCAAAGGTAATTTGGCATCGTCTGAGGGTTCATACGGCATTTGCCCTGGCACGGCAGAACAACGCATCCTCGCGACTTTTGTGTTCTTGTCATCGCACTTTCTGAGGCACTCGCCGATGGCAACGAAGACACTTCAAATCCAGCCGATGCAACAAGTTAACCGTCGGACAGCTTTTTATCTCTATCTTCCCGCTCTTGAAATATTAAAGATTTGGCTACATGAAAAGAGCGCGATGCGAAGATGGCATGCGATAGTTTTAACGGATCCGCTACATCTTGCCACGCTTTTCAGCTAATTCCTCAAAAATTCTACTCTATAAATCCTAAAATGAAGTTCACAAAGTCATAACGCGCGAGAAATTGCGCTCGATTTATTAAATCAAATTATTGATTTTCGTGTCCGCATAACTCTATAGCTTAAAATTCATATTTCACGGGCGGAATGTTGTAGTAATCAACAATGAAATCCTCTTGAATGCAAAATTGATCCATTTTCAGCTAAAATTGTGCAGTAAACTTTACTTTCACTGTTGATTCACCCCAAACTTCCCGGTTGTCACAAAGGAAACGTTGTATATCGTACATGGCTGCGAAGGTACGAGGTGTGATCAAAAAGTTCCCGGACTGGTGCCGCCCTGGGCTGAAAAATGGCCCAAACGAGCTAAACTTAGGCTCGTTTGAAAGCTTATACTCTCACGAGTACACTCCTTTTTAGTTTTTGAAAAAATATTTATTAGTTTTCGCACAGCGTCAATTTTACGGAGACGTGTTTGCGCCGTGCGGCGATTTTGTCTGCGAACGAGAAATGACCAACATCCTTTTCCAACTTTGAGGTGGCTGATAAGACAGGTGCATCCAGCGATCACGCTGATATGAGTCTATCCTACCTCTGGTGTACTTGCACAAGATAAACCACTATTTTTTACCTGAAATGTGTCACTTGGAACGCATCAAGATGCAATTTTTCGAGTTTTTCGTTTTTTTTTTTCGAAAAATTGCTTCTTGATGCGTTCCAAGTGACACATTTCAGGTAAAAAATAGTGGTTTATCTTGTGCAAGTACACCAGAGGTAGGATAGACTCATATCAGCGTGATCGCTGGATGCACCTGTCTTATCAGCCACCTCAAAGTTGGAAAAGGATGTTGGTCATTTCTCGTTCGCAGACAAAATCGTCGCACGGCGCAAACACGTTTCCCTAAAATTGACGCTGTGCAAAAACTAATAAATATTTTTTCAAAAACTAGAAAGGAGTGTACTCGTGAGAGTATAAGCTTACAAACGAGCCTAAGTTTAGCTCGTTTGGACCATTTTTCAGCCCTTTTCAAAATTTATTTTTTTGAATTAAAAAAATCGCCATGCGACGCAAACACGTCTCCGTAAAATCGACACTGTGCAAAAACCAATTGATATTTTTTCAAAAACTAAAAAGGAGTGTACTCGTGAGAGTATAAGCTTACAAACGAGCCTAAGTTTAGCTCGTTTGGGCCATTTTTCAGCCCAGGGCGGCACCAGTCCGGGAACTTTTTGATCACACCTCGTATAAAACCATAGCACCCTTTTGCGCGAACGTGACAAGTCAGAAATCAATTATAAGGATGAACATTGATGTTTTCTCATCAAAGTTGCGTCCTTCTTTGTAGAAACAACGAATGAGATTTGCAGTGCTGCTAAACGTCCAGCCTGGCGCATCATTTGCAGACGGCCAGTTTAATAACCAAACAAGCATTTTGCCCCCAAGAATTTGTTTACTACTTTTATGTTGTTTAGTTGGCCATACATTTTAAAAACCATCGTACAAACTGAGCGGCGTTGCAAAGCTTACACGTCGTTTCTACAAAAAATGACTTTATGGCATGTGCAAGATAATGAGAACATTGAAAATTTCCAATATTATCATTCAAGTGTGCAAACAGGGTTTTCTATTGAGTTCATTCAAACGTCTCGCACGCCGAAGAGACCAAAGTTTACTGGGATCAAACTGGACACCAAACTCTCGTCAGTAAGTGTTACATTAAAATACTTTCTTTTCTATTGCAAGATCTTTCTTGACAGGACTTTTTTAAGATTGGTCACAGGACGAAAACAGAATATTGCTTCTCGTGATACCAAAACATACATCATGTGTTATTACTTACCTAACAGATCCCATTCCCCATTTGTTATAAAACTACTAATATCACCACCTCCTTCGTCTTGGAGTTGTAAGTCCAGCTGAAACAAAGAAACACAAAAACCTGTAAACTATCGATCCAACCCTTCACTTTTTACAAGATTAAATGATAAATCCTACTTATAAACGGTAGTAATTGTGACAAGACATTCACGTAATTATTAGAGAATTATTGGATAACTTGTGAAGGTGTAACTGAAAATTATTTAAATCAACAGTATCAGCAAGAACAATGCCTCAAAGAGATGAAAATTGTATCATGGAAAAAATCGTGATAATTTCCACCGAGACACTCTTTGATGAGGATGATTTTAGGTTTTTTTTTAGCATTCAACATTCCATGGGTAGGTATTAAACATCAGAATAGACAACAATTTTATTTTATTTAAGATTTTGTAGCACTTCTCAAGTTAACCATGAAAGACATAAACCATCGTTGCTTTAGACGAAGGCAATCCTCGGTCAAAATTTATTTCGCGAGAAAGAATATCGCCTTCCGTTTCCATCGCATTAAGTTAACAACGCACAGTGGATCAAGTCAATTAGAGAGGTCGGACATAAAATTTGTAACAAAAACTGCAAATTTTGATGTTTATTTCGTCGAATGCTAAAGTTCAAGGGGTGCAGGCTCCTAGAGGTGTCATGTGGAAACGAATGGAGCCAAGTTTAGAACCTTAAAGTTTGGCATAAGCGGAGTTATGAGCGTTTACAGTTTCCGAATTTTTCCTACCTCCTCCTATTGACTCGACCCACTGTGCGAAGCTATCTAACAGTCAGAGGTTGTAAATCGCGGAGAGCAGATGACAGATACGTGGAGTAACCGCAGGTAGGGTGGTATGGCTATAATTTTAACCGGCTTACAAAGTTACGGCTCGTTCCATGACGATAGAAATCGTGACCGGTGGATAGGCGAGGGGATGGGGGAGGTCGTCACGTAGACCTGATGCTTCTTTATATTAATTTAAAAAGTGTTCACACGACACATCGAAAGGAATCTACAATCTCGGCGAGGCGGGAGAACTTTATCACTTCACCCGCTCTTACCGCTTCATAACTCGTCGCTCCTATTGAGGAAGAACGTAACTGCATTTCATTGCTGCCAAATTTCACCCCGCACATTGCGTTTTTACCGAGAGAATCTTGGGCGTTTCCGACTGGAAATTTCACTGATTTTTCTTCTGATCTCGGACGAAAATCAGTAAAATGTTGGATGAAAATTGCACAATTACTTCCTTGTAAAAACTTAAATTGTTTCAGTCAATTTTGCAACCTTGGAATTGAGTTACGCTCTTTCGTCTGGGAAACGGCGGACTCTCCCTTTCGTTGTACGGGAGAACACGGACTCGGTTCATTCATATTTCAGTGGCGTGGCGTGAATTGCGATACATCGATTGTTGTGCCATTTAAACCCATGAAAAAAGATCGATTATCAGGGTGTTGTCAAGGTGCACAGCGAACACCTTAGTAATCGATACCTAACCATAGCTTCAAATGGCGAGATATCGATAATCGATTATTCACGCCAGGCCACTGTCATATTTCTCTCTGCTTTTGGAGGCTTTATTAGAGTAAACTAGGTTAATTAAATACACTTATTGTTTTTTTGTTTTCCGCGCACTCAGGAAAAATGACTTACATAACTTCAAGAAGATTCACTCGTGAATCAAGAATAAAACCGTTTGAATCAAGCAAATTTAAGCTCCGCCCATTTTTTTCCTGACATAGACATCAATTTTTGCTCGATTCAAGAGGAATATGCTCTCAGCGGGAAATAGGAATATATCTGCTTGAGTTAGGACACTTCTTTCCAGAGGTAACAGTACACGATACGTGATACATTGGTGGACTGAATACGTGCTAGATCCAAAGTCAAATTTTTGATTAAAAACTTTGAGTCTCCTCCTCCAAAAGCATCGAAAACCCCCTAGATCCAAAGTCAAATTTTTGATTAAAAACTTTGAGTCTCCTCCTCCAAAAGCATCGAAAACCCCACCACCGGCCTGAGTGTTGAAATCGATAGACAAAGTGAGAAAATGAAGCGATCTATATAAGAGGTTGCTATGGGCGGTTTTTTTTTTAAAACAAATTGTTTTTGGCTTTTATTTCTTTATTGATAGATTAAGAATCTACAACCATCAGTGGCGTGGCGTGATTTGCGATGTATCGATTGATCTGCCATTCCAACCTATGAAAAAAGATCGATTATCAGGGTGTTCGCAGCGAACACCCTGATAATCGATTCTTTACCATAGCTTCAAAAGGCGAGATATCGATAATCGATCATTCACGCCACGCCGCTGACAACCATGTAAGTGCGTTCATGGCTGAGCCAAAAATAGTTGTTAATGGGTCTATTGCAAATTTTTGCTTCAGCAAAAATAAGAGTTGTTTCTTACAGATATTGTCTCAAAAATCACGACAAGCGCATCGGCAAACTTTGAAACGCAGATGAACATCACGATAGAGGAGTCGTTCCACTCGATCCTGCGCTCAACATGGCCAACGCTTCCGCGCGCAAGTTGAGGAGGGCACGAGATCAATCAAGGCGGATATCTTTCAACGCGAGAAAAATGTGAATCTAAACACGCCGATTGTTATCAGAACCATCGTCCCGTCAAATGCTTTTTGGTGGATTGGCGTCGGCTATGTTGAATATTGCGTAGTATCCTCGTATGAGCAGGTGTTAAATGGACTACATTTTGCAATTTGGACTTATAGATTCTACCCCGGTTTAAAAACAACGTATGTGCCATTAGTTTCCCTATGCACATAAGTGTTTCTTCAGAAGAGCCAGAATTTATAGTTCCGAATTGCAAAATGCAGTCCAAATGGAATGACTCCTCTAACGAAATGTTCACCTGTGCCGTGGTGTCGTTTCTGAAGCGCGGAAGCTCGAAAAAACGCAAAATTCTCAAGCAAATTGTGAAGTGAGAAGTGCGTTTCAAACTTTGCCGATACGCTCATCGTGATTTTTGAGACATTTTCTTTGAGTGGCAACTCTTTTTTTTCGCTCTAGCAAAAAGTTTGCAACGGGCCCTTTCCCGATTGCAAAAACGTAGTGCACACTGAAAAAGAAATCTCGGTGTATTTAATAAGAAAAGGGTAAAATTACCAAGAATTCAGGGTTCTATTTGATCCCAGTTTTTTCTTGGTAAAATTACTATTTATGGAATTGGTAATTTGACCGAGAAATCTCGGTAAAATTATTGAACTTTCTCGGTAATTTTACTGGACCTTGGTAAAAACGCCAATATTTTTTATCGACTGTAGTAGAATTATACCGAGATAAAATGGCAAAGTTACCGGGAATTGATTACCAATAAAAGTGGTATTCTTACCTGAAAAAACAGTGAAAATACCGGTTTTTAGGTAAGCTTACCAGTTTATCCTGGTAAAATTACCAATAATTGGTAAAAAAAAGTGAGATGGTAAAGGTACCAACGCACCTTGGTAAAAACGCCGAGAATTTTTTTTCAGTGCACCTGTAGAAGGCAAGGAGTGAGAGGAACAGAAGCGTTAACGACCCCCGGCCTTCCCGCTAGACGACGAGCTACGATGGATGGGTTGATGAGGTAGACCGGGAGGGGGGAGGGGGTGCGTTCGAACCCCGACAAACGTTCAATCGTCGAGGGCGAACCGAAAATAAATAGTGATAAAGTATAGAATTACCGGATTTAGACGAGTGTCGAGCTGCGGCAAACTCAATCACGTCTCTTAATCGTGTCCGAGTAAATTTTATCACGGGGCGGTGGAATTTACTTATTTAAATGTTTACTCGCTATCTTCGAGATGCGCCGCGTCGGGCTGCTGCCGACTTGTGCTTCCTCGAACTTACTTCCCCGCAGAGAGAGTATATTTTAAAGAGGGGTGTGGATTCGATCGACATGAATCGATCGAAAAAAAACGTGAACCGAGCGACGTGATTCGATCGACAACCGGGAATCCATCGAAAAACCCGTGAATTGCTCGACAAACCTACGATGCAATCGATGGACCCGTGAATCGGCCGATCCACCGGCGAATTTGTTGAAAACCCCGTGATTCGCTCGACAAATCCGTTAATTGATCGAAAAACCCATGAATCGCTCGACAAACTCGTGAATCGATCAACAAACCTACGACACGGTCGATAGACCCAAGAATCGATCGAAAAACCCGCGAATCGCTCGACAAACCTATGACTAGATCCATAAACTCGTGAATAGATCGAGAAACCCGCCAATCGATCGAGAATTGATCAAGATTAGTCGATCGATTCGCTTCGATCACTTCACGTTTTTACTTTTTGATCGATTCATGTCAATCGAATCTATTTTAGAGACCCCGCACTCACGACCTAAGCGATGTAGTGGACCAAGACACAAGTTTTCTCTCACAATTTCATGGGAAAAACTCATCTCTTGAAGTCTGTGCACAATACTGATTTTTCATCATCATCCGACCAAATCTATGCAAGGCCGGATTTACCTACTTGCCGCCCATGGGCCGCCTGTATTTTGCCGCCTCCTTCTCATTCGTATTGAAACATCAATGAAAACGATCAAGTGAACGTGCCAGCGGGGGAGGGGTGCATAAGACGCGTTTACTCGTGTTGAACACATGTTTTGGGAATGCCCTGTCAACACTACTAGCAAAAGTTAAGTTTCGTAAACCTATCTCTGTGTGGACAAGGCCTTTCATTCATAAGAAATGAACAAAAAAATTATGAAAGAACAAACACGAATGTGGTTTAATGAGTTTGACTTCCGCCGCCGCGCCGCGCCGCGCAGACCGCACCGTGTTTGGCGCAATGCGTGAAGTATTCACGCAGTCTTGTAGGCGCCATGCGTTTCACGCTGCCCGCACTGTAGTTGTCGCAATGCGTGAAGTATTCATGCATTCTTGTAGGCGCTATCCGTTTCACGCTGTCCGCAATGACCGCACTGTGTTTGATGCAATGCGTGAAGTATTTGTGCAGTCGTGTAGGCACTAATATGTGCTACATGCCGATCGCCGCGCCGAGGGCTTCTCCTTTTCATCTCCAGTCCTCGTCATAATTGCTCTCCACGCCGCCGCGCCGTTCCAGGCCAAATTGCGTGTTTGGTTTCTCTCTTAACTCGACTACTTAAAGGTGCTGTCTCTTGTATCACTGAAAGACGACAAAATTAAAAACTACTATACTCTCAGGAAATGAGAGATTTTGTCGCCTTTTCTCGTTTGTAATTTTTTTTCTAAATCCGATATTTTTTTATCCCTACATTTAAAAAAATTGCAAAAGCCGCCCTCTAGATTTGCCGCCATGAGCCGCGGTCCATGTGGCCACCGCCCCTTAATCCGGCCCTGAATCTATGTATTTCGTGATCTATCTCGTTTCGTGATAGAACTCGATGTTTGCTGGTTTATCAAGGTCCTAGATTACGTCCATAGAAAAACATCAATGATTGTTCATCAATGTCTTACTCGATGCAACTTCCTCCGTTACGAGATTTTATGGATGGAATTAATAGATGGCGCCGGCAATCCTGCATCGGTTGTGATCAAGTTGGTGACGTCACGGGAACGACGGGCGTCGAGGTAAGTAAACAAACCGAATTCGGTTCTGACTTTTAATTCCCCCTCCCCGCCTTCGCGTCGTAATCCAATACCGTCTCACGTTCACGGTGATGACCAGTTTGTTTGCAACTGTGTCCAGGAATTCACCAGCTTCATCTCAGAGCACTGCAAGAGCTCAAGCAAAGTCGATATATGGACGTATTTTTGCTAAACGGAACTATGTGCATTATGACGTAAGCCCTGTTATGCCTATATTCTTATGGGTCTCAGAGCTCATATCTTAATACATATAGTTCCGTATGGTAGAAACACGTCCTTATAACAGAGACCCCGCACGGCCGCACGGCCACAGTCTCTATTATTATCTGATTTAATTTTAATACTTATGAAATATACGATTAAGAAAGAATTAAAACATGGTTTTAAACGATTTTAGAAAACAATTTGGGCGTTCTAAATGCCGGTAAATCTCTTTACATGGTTTACCTCGTAACGTAGGATTTTTTTTTTTATGATTGCTTTTAAGAAAGGGAAATAAAAATGTTTCAAACGGGTTTTTTTTTTTTTGGACGGATCCACTTTTTTAAAAAAAAACTCTGAGAAAGTGAAAAAATAATTAATAATTTTCTGCATCTGATATTTCAGAAATGTTTTCCTATAACTTTCTAGAAATTGTTTTAAAAACAATTTAGATATAATATTTTAAACATTTCAAAAGATGTTTTTAAGGTCATTACGAAGTGACGTTAAAGGGAATGATAAAATCATACATGTCGTCAGTCATCATACAGTGTTTCAAAGTCGTTTTGAAATGATTCAGTTTGTCCCTCAGTTAAAGAAAAAAAAAAAGACATAAGTAAATAAATAAACCTGTAATCTGTGACTTTGAAATCATTTTTCGAGCGTCATACCAGTACCAGTACTGCCAGGTTTCAAGGGATGCTTTCGTTCAGTGATGACCCATTAACCCCCTCATTCTTACGTCCTGGTGAAAATTGACAGTAGGATCCGTGTTCCAAAATATTATAGACCTACAGCCGGCTGTAAGGTTTCCTACAGAGTACACGGACTTTATGTCCACTTTTTTTACGTCCACAGACTTTTCGTCCACAATTTTTATGTCCACAGTTCTAAAGCCCACACCATTGTTAAGTCCATTACTTAAACGTCCACTAAGTTAAGTCCACAAATGAAAAGTCCACTAAAATCAAATTCAAGCGTCATATTTTAGTCCGTGTGTAAAATTATATTGACAATATCGAAATGAGAAAATTAAGAGAGAATGAGGTGTTGTTATCGTAACTCATATTTTAAATGAAATGTTAATTTCTTCTTTTGATTCATCTTTTCAAATTGTCTTTGGTAAATACTTGGTTTCGTTTCTATCCTTGAAATTTCCGATATAACATATGTCTTAAATGCACATTCTTTTTTTTTTTTTAATGAAATTGATTACTTCATTTCAAAAACATTTACATTTTTAAAACGTGGTAAATATTTGTGAAACCTTTTCCAAGCAATGGCATCGAGATGAATCTCAATGAGCCGTAGTTGTGATGAAAGAAACTATAAGATAATTGATAAAAGAGGAGAAAAACTAAGAAGCACGCAATTTTTTGTTTTTAACTTATTTGTACATCGACCTTCTTGAGTCAAATACGTCCAATTTTGAGCGTTTACTTGCGCTCACACCACGCTGCAGCACAGTAAAAGCCCAAAACATAAAAGAATAAATTTGAATGCTTTGGAAATCATTACATTTTAATATTTACAAAAAACACATTATATTTTCCAGTAGTACATGTTCATTTTGCATCAGTTTAAAAGGGAATACTCAATGCAGAGAGTGCAAACATTTCAAAATCATGAGTTTAAAAACGTTGACTCCGCGAGTTTAAATATTAGAGCCTAACACAGAGCGGAGCGGCGTGTTAGCAGCGCAGAACGCGCACTGGCGCCTACAAACCTAACGGAATACTTCACGCATTGCGCAACGCGTGAAGTATCCCGTTAGGTTTGTAGGCGCCTATGCGCGTGTCACGCTGGTCGCCTGCCGCGCCGCAACGCTTGAAGCAACTATTTCGCGTCAGAGGCGTTGCACAGTATCCTACAATATTGAAGGCGCACGAAATAACTAGTTAAAGATGACTTTCAATTTTGACTGCATCCGTTACTGAAAAATGTTTAATTTGGCATTGGAGCGTTTCTTAGGCTCCCGCTTTGGTTTTCATCATATCATATCTGTACAGTGTACACATGAACATATGTTTTTATCTGCTCTTAGAGTCTGTTCTCTTTCATGACTTGATTCATGAATGAAATGTTTTTAAGAATGAAGGAACTCTTCACCTCTCTTAATTTAAAAATCTAAATTTTCGTATATACTCCCATTATCAAAATCCTCTGTAAAGACGTTAATAGCCTGTGACGTCGAACGTCTTAAAATATACTAGCTAACTAACGTATGCGTTTATTTTTGAGGTGGTTCCTGTCATTTAAATGAGAAGGAAAAAAATGTGGACATAACATGTCCACAATTTGGACAATTTTGGACATATTCATGGTTGGACATTAAATCATGTGGACTTAATAAAGACTGGACTTAACGTTTAGTGGACATAAATAGCGGTGGACATTTATTTAATGGACGAAAGGTAGGTGGACATAAAGTCCTGGAAGCTCCTACAGCTTCTATAGCCGGCTATACAATTGTTATGACCGATGGCAATAATAAGCTACAGCCAGGCGATAAACCACATAGCCCGGCTATAAGAAGTATAGCCTGTCTGTTTAATTTTATATCGCTTCGTGTAGCCGGCTGGATGATTTTCTTCGCTTTCTACTACGGCCAGCTATGATTTTCTATTGTCTCCTATAGCCGGCTATAAGAATTCCTATGGTATTTTGAAACGCAGCTCCTATAGATCGTTTTCGATAGTGGTTCGATGTATCGTTTGGTTCAAAACGATAGAACATAACCTCCAACAAAACTTTCAGGATTTCAGTCGGAAAAGCTGAAAATGAGAAAATTCCTAACTATTTCACCTTGCGATGCCATTTAGTACTCATTAGAATCAAAAATCTATCAGAAAAACCCCATTTCCTCAGATTACTCGATTGACTTTTGAGGCTATGTTTACATGTTGAACCAATCGATATCGATACAATCTCACCTATTTGATGTATCGAAAACGATCTATCGCCAATCTTTACAAGGGCGGTATTTATAAACGTTACTGGTCAAGATAGATATGGAAAAGAGGTTGACTGAATTACCTGGAAACCATCATAGGTCCAGCTTCCAAACTTCATCTCGCATCTCTGGTCGTCGAAGGGAAACCAGGTGATGTCGATTTTGCAGGTGCTCTTGAAGATCCCCGGAGGAATATACGAGCAACTGCCATTGCTTCGGACGACGACGTTCGTCGGATACGTTCCGTCGAACCCTTCGTCCGCACTGTCAACAGAATAAAACAATTATATCAAAAAAGGGAAGAAAAAGGCGGAGAACCTGGGAAAAAAAGGCCCAAAAATGTTTTACGGTGACATTTGAGGAGTACGTATTTTCATGGTGACCAGAGACAACAGCAACAGTGGCGTGGCGTGAATGATCTATTATCGATATTTCCTCATTGATGCTATGGTAAAGAATCGATAAACAGGGTGTTCAATGCGGACACCCTGTTTTTCGATCCTTTCGCATACATTTAAATGGCAGATCAATTGATGATTCGCAAAACACATCACGCTACTGAGAGACAAATGTGTTTTAGAGACTCAGCACTAAAATCCTGAGTAATCACGGGGAAAAAAGTGTTAGGAGTTATCCCCTAACAATTTTACTAATTGTGGTACGACTCCAATTTGTTGGATATTATGGGCATTCTAAATGAATTTTGGTGGTACCGCAACATTTGGGTTAGCAACCTAATTTTAAAATATTGGGGTACTACCAAATTACATGAAAATTCCCATATCATCCAACAACTTAAATACATACGAGTCGCTGTTATATCGCTCTTTGGCGCTTTGCGACACCTAATCGCCACATAGCTCGGTCTTCCCACAGGTTATCAGGGAGTTGACACTCCCTCATCTCACTTAACACCCCCTGTCGCCAACCTCTCACTGGGCGTCCCCTACGCCTCCTCCCAGGAGGAACCCAATCAAGCATCTTTTTTGGCAGCCTCTCTTCCGTCATCCTATTGACATGATCCTTTATAAACAAGTTGTTTGGTCATGACGTCGAACACGATGTCATTTTCGACTTCCATTATCTGACGCACTCTATCATTACGGACCCGATCTCTCCTAGAAATTCCTGCTGACCTTCTCCAGAAATCCATCTCCGTTGCTCTTAGCATATCCTGTGTCCGTTTCTTCAGCTGCCAAACTTCACATCCGTATGTTAATATACTTTTGACTACAGCGTTGTATATCCTCCTCTTGTTATCTTTGGAAATCCGCTGATCCCAGAGGATTCCATTTAACATCGCTATAGCCTTCCTTGCTAAGGTGTTCCTTTCCCTGATAGCTTGATCCGTCCTTCCATCCTGGGTCAACCGCACTCCCAAGTACTTGAAGTGCTCGCAGCATTTGATCTGCTGCCCATCCTCCAACTCAATGCTTTGCTGATCACCACCAAAAGTCATCTTCTCAGATTTGGATATGCTGACTTCCAAACCCCACTTCCGATATTCTTCTACTAACTTGCGCATCATGTACTCCGCGTCTTCTTGATCTTGAGCAACCACCACCTGGTCATCAGCAAAGCACAGAGTGAACAGAGTTTCAAGATCACCCAAGGGGACACCCAAACCAGAACACTTCCTTTTCCATTCCTTTAGCACACATTCGAGGTAAATTTTAAATAATGTTGGCGACAAACAACATCCCTGTTTTAAACCCTTAGTCACATAAAATCCCGCTGACAACCCCCCATGATACTTAATTTTGGTAAAACTCCCTTTATAAAATCGCTTGACAGCATCAATCAACCCCCCGTTAAAATTCGATTTTTCCAAGGCCTCCCAAAGTTTCACCAACGGCACACTGTCATACGCTTTCTGGAGATCCACGAAAATTAAATGCAGCTCCTGAGCTACGGCCATTTTCTTCTCAATGACCTGGACAATAACAAAGAGGTGATCTATCGTAGACCTGCCAGCTCTAAAACCAGCCTGCTCCTCTGCTTCGTGATCCTGCCATTCGTCCTCGATCTTCGCTTTCAGTATCTTCCCGTACACTTTGCTTATTGTCCCGGTCATCCAACAACTTCTACCTCATTTTTTCCACGCTGTAATCGCGTAAGGCACAAGTTAAATTCAAAATTTAATGTTATTTTCGCCTGATGATGTTGGACTATTTTGCAATCAGAAACTATGATTGTGAATCTGTTTAGAAATACAACCATAATGTACCATTACTTCTCCTATGCGCACGAGTGTTCTTCGAGGTGAGCCAGGCCACCTCAGCTATTGCCAAATTTAATTGGGCAATTTAACTTTTTACATGATACCGATTGTGCGGATTTGTGTGCAAATTTCAGTGCATTTTCTGCATAGTGCGAAGCAAATTTCTAAACATTTTCAAACACACCCGCAGAAACGTTCTTTTGTAAAAAGTTGAATTGTCCAGTTGAATTTGGCAATAGCTGATGAGACTTGATCCGCTTCTGCTAAAAACTGTCTAAATTATAGTTCCGAATTGCAAAAAGTGGTCCTATTGATGAACAACTTGATGAGCGTGAAAACTAGTGGCGAGGCGTGAATGATTGGTTATTATCGATGTTTCCCAATTTGAAGTTAAAGTAGAGAATCGATTAGTAAGTCGCACATTGCGAACACCCTGTTGATCGACCCTTTCCCGTGGGTTTAAATGACAGGTCAATTGATAAGTTGTAAACCACGCCACGCCACTGATGAAATCAAGTAAAATTCGCCAAATGATAACTGATGGATGACATGATAAATGAAGTGAGCGCTTTGATAGGCAATTTTTTCACAAATTAGGTTGGAAAATTGATAAGCCAATTGCTCAACTCTTTGATCATCAATCATCTTTCCGGGAATCTGAGCAGTGACTTCTGCACGTAACTTCGCTTTTCTGGACTAGATTTGCAGTTCTAGAACTTGATTCAACCATGTGACCCTGGATTTTCGTCGGCAACAGCTCTCGGCAAAGTACGCTATTTTTAAAACAGTCGTTACTTCGCTACGAGTGATGACTAGATCACGACTAGGGAAGCGTAGGTAATAAACAAAAAACGTGACGCTTGCTTTGAAATAATCGCAGTGTTCGATAGAAAAACAAACTTTTGAACGTAAGTTCGAACATGTTTATGGCTGAATCGACCCACCCAAATTATTTACCACTTTTGCACGATTTTCTCACAAGATTAAAGAAAACTTGCAACTACAAAAAGGCTAAAACTCGCATAAAACCCCGTATTCCTAACTTCATCGCTGAGTTGCGGTTACTTCCGAACCTGCCCCGGAAATATCTCATCTCTCGACATCTGGACAACTGTAAGTATCAGGTATTTCATTTTCATGGCCCTATGCTTGTAACTCAATACTTTTCCACTCATAGATGCTGCTAGAAAGTGTATGCAGTCAAGTACAAAACATTGACATACAAACATAATTTTTAAGTTTCAAGAAGGAAGTTTCACTTTCACTTAGTTCCTGGTGGCCGAAACACGTTATGATAAGTTGTCCTTTGTAAAAACATGATATATTCTCTGCGCGACGTTAAACAAAATACTTCATATTTTCCATTTTCACGTTATCGATTTCTTTTACTTTGTTATTATGATCATTATAAATACTTTACGCAGAGAAAATCCGTTTAACATATCATGGAACATGACCATAAAACACGTTTGGCACATAAAAAACGTTGCCTGGTGCAGAGGGAGTTTATACAGGACAACAGTCGGCTTGGGGCAAGTTCGGTCTGAAATGATGAAGTAAAATCACCATAGCCGAGTATCTTGAAATAATGAGTCTTTAGCACAGCACAATCTCTTTTTTCCGTCATGTCGTTAGGGTTGCATTTTATACTTAGAGAATCGTGATGTGGTTTATTTTTAAACATTCTCATTCACTGCTGTTTTTCAAATCGTCATTCTCCGTCAAAGACAAATTCTCAACGCCGTACACGTACAGAATAGATCACATCATACTAGAATGCAGACTTAATTATCTTCTTTCATTCTTTCATAGAACGGAAATCACCACACAACCAACTGTGAAAATGCGCCTAATTTACATCACAGGACTTTTTGCCGCGTTACTGTGTAACCTTACTCTAGTTACATCGGTAAGTTTATGAATTAAATGGAACAAATCTGTATATTTAGGAGTGAAGAGAAATCATGAAATGTAGAAATCGTTTCATTCTTACGAGAGACGAGTTTCTCCAACTGAATGATCATCCCGTTGTCACTCTAAAAAGAGACTGAGCGGTTCAATAAAGACCATCGTATTTAGGGACTACGGATAAACTAATCGTCCGTGAAAAGTATTGGAGGGCACTGATCGAACATACGAACTAAAGCATTCCATTTTCGCTCTTCAAAAGTTATAGAAGAAAAGTTTTCATTGTACGGAAAGTTTGGAAATCAACTCTTATCAAAGCTCAAAATATTTATCATACATATACATTATAAATACGAAAATTCGCGTATTTCATATTATCATTAATGATTATTCCGTAGAACAACTAGCATTTAAAGCGACGCACTTGAAAATGTAGAATTATAAATAAACCGCGCTTAGCAGGAAGGAACCAAGCCACATCAGCTATTGCCAACTTTAACTCGGCAATTAAAGTTTTCACCAAGAGAACGTTTGAGCAAATTCCTTTGAAAAATTTAAGGAATGCAGGAAATTCACTGAAATTACACGCAAAAAAGTCGCTACTTTAACGCGCTCTGACATTCTGCGACGCCCAAACGCCACATAAGCTTTCCTTCCCAGAGGTTATCGGGTAACTGACAACGCAACATCTCTTCGTCAACGCCTGCCGCCATCCCTTCATGACTCGTCATGAAGGGAACTCATCTCTCCTCTCTTCATCATGGGATGTCCCTGTAGTCTTTTCCCAGGTAGTACCCAATCCAAAACTCGTTTGGGCCACCTTTCCTTCGACATGCTTTGCACATGCACATGTCCTAGTCTATACCACACTAACTTCCTGTACATGACGTCGTTTCTACCGTTTTCATGTAGAACATTCAATTGCCCGGTTAAAGTAAGCAATAGCTGGTGTGGTTTGGTTGCTTCCGACTGCGGTGTAAATGAAGTCATGTGCATGGTTTGTTTCTTACTCGAATGATTTTGATTAAATGTACATTGCGATGATCACTTCTTGTGTAAAATGATGGGGAGGAAACGTATAACGTGCAACTTTATTTGAATAATCCATTTTCACGAAAAGATGCTCACAGGTTGAATTTCTTTGCCGATAGAATGAGTTTCGAAACGATTTTTTCCAGGTGACTCAAACTGAAAGAAACCTGAGGGCTAGTTTAAAGGAGTACCACAATGCTGACACGTGCCATCTTCAAAAAACCAAGCATGCGGGATTCAAAGCCTCGCTTGCAAAGTCCAATTGCGAAAAAGCTCTCAACACATTCCTTTCGTTGTGTAATGGGAACCTCAGTTACCAAAGCGCGTGCCACGATCCAAAAAGACCAGCAGCCTGCGACAAAGGTCGCAAGGTCACCCCTCGATGCTCCTTCCAATGTCGAGAGTCTCCCGATGGGGCGTACAAGACAAAACATCTGAAGGACATAGTTGCCGCTTTAAATTTAGATTAAGAACTTTATGTACTAATTCACCACAAAACGAATAGGATATGAATAAAAGCACTGTGTCTCACGAAAAATTACTCAATCCGTCCGAACACACCAAAATTAACAACTTAATCCGGGAAGAGACTGTGATAAAATAAAAAAATCAAGTCTGCAAAAATGAAGTTTGAAATTTCCCAATCGGAAATTTGACCTTGGGCAGATCAGAATAATATTGTGGCAACCTTAGCGAGATTGTAAGCATATTTCAACAGTAAGGTTGGCCTGAGAATCTTGGTACAATATACCATCAATACTGGATATATAACCTTAGTATTTTAATATTGCACCAATATTAGCAACATTAGAAGTCCAAGGTCAGGTGGTGCTTGGTGATTCCAAGATTGTCAGAATGTTGTCACAATATTGGTTATACAATATTGGTAAACTAATACTGTCGTAGAGTTATGTTTTCAATATTGCAGTAATATGTTAGTTTTAACATTGGCACATTATTAAAAAAAATACTGAACATAGGCTTCTGCTTATAATATTGACACAATATTAGGAGAAGAAAATTGTTAAAATAATATCGAGACGATGTTATCTCTATGATACTGCGGTATTGTTATTATGTTAACATTCAATTAACGTTAGAACAACAAACATAACAGGCTTCTGTTCGTAATATTGTCATAATATTGACACAATATTGGATATCTAAAACTGCTGAATTGATATTATGCTAACATTATTTTTACAACATTGTGGTAATATTCGCACTTCAACATTGTCACAAGATTAAGAAAATAAACATTTTAGGCTTCTGTTTCTAATATTGTCATAAGATTAACACAATATTGTGCGCGGCGAGCACAATTCGACCGCGTTTGCTATTTCCGCCACCAGGGCGCGCTCGCCGCGGATCTGCCGTTGCGGTCCCTCTAAGGGCAAAAATTGCGACCTTTCGCTTTTTGACGTAATAGGCACATGATCCATAGGCGTCTAACCCATCTTACCGATATTCTTAGGCCAAGGGCTCAAATGGAGCTTTTTGGCAACGGTCCGCGCGCGGCCGCCCCGTCAATAGGGCTGGTTCTCGTTTCGCCTGGGCAGTGCCCGTTACAAGTGGGATCCAGTCGGATACTCCAGCCAGTGCAAGCAGCCAAGAAAATAGCTGACTTAGCTAGGTTCCTTGGCACACCAATGTTCCGTATGCCTACATTAGGTATTGCGACGCTATGAAATTTCTTCCGCGAGGACGGCAGGTAATACGGCGTTCTATCGCCTACCTTGTCTCAGAGGTAAGATTGGAAATCCAAGCTTGTCTCAGAGGTAAAATAAATATCCTGCCAATACCATGGCAATATTTTAACATCAAGTCTATGGCAACATCATGATCACAATATCCGCTGGACAAGCTTGGAGCAATATTATTAACATAACGTTGTCACAATATTGAATATCCGAGTTTGTCTCGGAAGTAAAATAATGTCCCACCAATATTGTGGCAATATTGTCAGGATAGGCTTGGAGCAGTCTTACAAACCTAACCTTGGCACAACCTTTGGGCTCAAGCTTGTCCCAGAGGTAAAATAAATGTCCTGCTAACATTGTGGGAACATTAGCAAGATAAGCTTGGCAACTCTATTCAAATGTGAAAAAATGTCATACTAAGCTTGTACCAAGGTCAAATTTCCAATTGGGTTAGTCTTCCGAAGTAGCAGTGATCAAGAGCTCATTTTCATCTTTTTTACTTTTAATTGATATTTAATTCTTTGCTGGAGGATTCATTTTCTTCCTTTTTCCATAGTTCGTGGATTTAATTTTTTGGGAACAAATCGCTACAATTATTTACAATTATTTTAGGGAACTTTGTCATCGATGCCGGCTTTCGTACTGACAATTCTTGTCAATTTTATTTATGCAGATTTGTTTTGACAGCAAACGCGCAGACTCATATGTCCGTCCGAAATTTCATTTTACATCAAGTGTACTAACCATTTAATCGGAAAAGTAGCTCCTTTCGGGGTTGCTCTTTCGGTTGATAATAAAAAACCCTCATCGCATGGTCAGGATTTTAAATCATAAATCACATTTAATGAGCTCTATATTCCAACAATCCTAACAACGGTTTACTTGCGATACAATCTGCAAATAGAGCGTTAAAAGACAGAATTCGACAATGAGAATGATCCGAAATTTATGAAGCGATGTCAAATAAGGCGTAGCGACGTAAAATTAAATGCAAGTTTTGTTGTCAGTTGCAAATTCAAATAATTCGAAGGCGCTAAAACAGAATGGACCATTAGATAAGGTACGAAGTTAAGCGTTCTGATACATGTTTCTTATGCGAAATTGTATGTAAAACACGATGCGCACAACGAAAATTACTGAAATTAACTCCTAACTCATACATTTAATGTTTCTTGAAGCGTGAATTCAAACCGCCCGCTCATGAAAACTCGATGCTCTACGTGATTCACATCGCGCGCTAAGCGTTATCATGACAGTCTCTACGATATACATATCTGGCAACCTCGATCTTGACGCTTTGGCTCAACTATAGCAAATTGCTTATAGTTTGAACAACACATGGTGGGACATGAACATTGCTTGACTGAGAAGCTTGCTGAAACTGTTGTAGTGCGCGATTTTATTCAAGTAGAGCTTTGAGTTTCATCGTGAGCGGGCAGTTCAAATTCCTCGTAACCAATGTGAAATAAAAACGATAATATCTGCGTTAGGAGTTGGTTTAAGTAATTTTCGTGGTGCGAATCGTTCTCAATGTGAAATTCTGACTAGGAAACATGTATCAGAATGCTTAAATTCGTGCCTTGTCTAGTGGTCCATTCGGATTATACCTGTGTTGTGGTTTTGTGTGTGTGTCTATGTGTGAGGAAGGCAAATTGCGATTGAAGTCCATTTTTAGAAGAGGCATGACACCTGGGATCCGAGCGTTAAAAATCGACTCAAAGATTGCGCACCTCGAATCGATACGCGGAATTTTGGATCAATAAAACTCGAATTTTTTTCACCCGTTCCCTTCTCCATTCCAGTTCTTAATTTCTGTGCCCTTTATGGGAATATTGCACAAGGAAACACACAAGTGCATTCGTTCCTTTAGGAATACCGCGAAATATTCACGTCAATCACATCGCATGCCGAAGTGTACAATTTGCGAAAACCGTCTTACAAATGTTTAATGTAATCGCGTCGGCGGGAACTTTTCTCTCAATCGACGGCATTCAGATTTTCTGGAGAGAAATATGTGAGAACTTTAAGTAAACGAACTTGATTAAAATTATAATACAAAGTATTAATACTTAATAATGCGTATAATTACTTGAATTTAAATGCGTAAATTATTAAGAATCTATGCCTTTTTTAAGGTTGATTTCCAAACTTCCCGCTGCGATAATCGCTTTCTGAGTGACATTTTGTGGAAGAAACACGTTACATGACATTTTGGTTATGTGCCCGGCTTTCCAGAAACACTTTTAAAGGTTTAATTTTTGTTTTTATCATTTTTCTTCTTTTTTTTCAAAATTACTTTTTCCAGATGAATGACGCTGAAATAAAGGCAAGGGCTAGCCTACTGAAATACCACCAAGCAGACACTTGCCCTCTTCTCAGGGGTAACCAAGCAGGATTTAAAGCCACCAGAGCCAAAACTAACTGCGAGAGAGCACTTGACAAGTTTCTTACGTTGTGCATTGCTAACGACCATTACCAAAACGTATGCTACGATCCAACAAGACCAGCGGATTGTGACAATGCTGGCAAAGTAGTCCCTCGATGCTCTTTTCAATGTCGGAAATCACCTACTGGAGAGTACAAGGCCAAACAACTTAAAGATATCCGTATTGCTTTGCGTATATTATCTTAAAATTATGTTGTTTTGATTGGCCAAAAAATGCACACGATACGAATAAAAGCATCATGATTTGTATTTCAAATAATGCACTTTGTTCAAGTCTTTATCCATTAATACTTTTTTTTACATCGAGAATGGGGGTACAGGGATTTTAAATTTTATGATTTCTTTACATATTTCTGTTTCCTGGTCAAAAAAGGAGTTGGAACCACTCTAAAACATACCAGGCCTTAGATATGTTTGTTGTTTTTAAGCCTTGGTCTCCCGTTTCCTTGTGTTTTGCAGTCTATTAATACAAGCTGAGCTATGTTCCGACAATTTTGCAAAAAAGAGTTGAAGATCACAGTTAAAAGATGTACTTTTTGACACTTATATCGAACCTATTTTGACAATTAACACGTGATCCGAGCTGTATGAAACTACACTGAAAAAAAAAATCTCGGTGTATTTACTAAGAAAATGGTAAAATTACCAAGAATTCAAGGTTCTATTTGATCCCAGTTTTTTCTTGGTAAAATTACTATTTATGGAATTGGTCATTTTACCGAGGACTTTCTCGGTAATTTTACTGGACCTCGGTAAAAACGCCAATATTTTTTATCGACTGTGGTAGAATTCCCGAGGTAAAATGGCAAAGTTACCAGGAATTGATTACCAATAAAAGTGGTATTCTTACCTGAAAAAACAGTAAAAATACCAGTTTTTAGGTAAGCTTACTCAGTCTGTCTTGGTAAAATTACCAATAATTGGTGAAAAAGTGAGATGGTAAAGGCACCAACGGACCTTGGTAAAAACGCCGAGAATTTTTTTTCAGTGTACCTTTCTCAAGTTCTTAGGTTCGAAAATATTTTTATTGTGGCAGACGTAAGCCGTCAAACCAATAGAACCGGTGAAGAAAATTGGATTTAATTTTCATTGTTAAGTTCAAACAATTATTTCCAGTTAAGCGTTCCTGTCGATCCACACTAGTGGCGCACAGAGGGCCAGGAATCGAATTTAGCTGGACAAAAGTCCATTTTGGCTTGTCCAGAAAATTCGAAAATAGACACCACTGAGCGATGAGGTATATCATGGAGTATCTGTACATCACTGGGTTTGGGGGTCTTATCACTAATAAGACTGCGATGCCAAGATTTTCCCGAGCGCGCGTGGTGTGTTTATTTATCCTATATGCTGGCTTGGTTCAACGCTCATCCAAAAGGTTATGTTCCACAAACCTTCGAGTGTTTCCCAACATAACGAGTGTTTTACCAAGTTAGATTAACATGTTTTCATTTTACTTTAAGGTATTTTTATCAATTTTGTGCATTGTATAGTCTGGTACACAAAATTAAAAACTGGGCACGAAAATGTCCTAATTTTTAGGTTTAAAGTGGTCTGCAATTTTCTGTAAAGATCTGTAAGGTTACGAACCGCTACCATGTGGTTCAGTACATCCTAAACATCTAAATTTTCATTGGTTCATTTGCTTTTTCTTGCTTTACCGTGAGTTATGAATTTTTTTGTGACGCAAGATCGAGGATTTTATGCTAATTTCTTATATTAGATCACTCACGTGCCAGGCATTGGCGATTCTTGCATGTTGGCATCAATGCTCTTTCTCATTGTAAATACACTAACGAAAATCGATTCTAGGTTAGGATTTTCGATATATATCGATTCTATCGTAGATGTGTTCATATGGATGAAAGACAGTGTTGCCAAATTGCAAGCATGTCGTATAATGGCGCTATCCTACGCTAATCTACTTATATTGTTATTATAGATGTCCATACAATTGCTGCCCGACTTCTGGGGTTAAATTATGACTGATTCTGAATAAAATTTTCTAATTCAAGGTTTTATTCCGGCTTTGCCTCTCTATCTTCTAATTTCTGGCAAAAGAAGTGCATTCTTTAAAACAATATTTTCATTGGTTCCGCCAAAAAATACGCGACAAGCAGACGACTCCTGAATTTTCTGGACATGTCTGGAGAGTTCAAATGGTCAATTTTGTGTAAGAACACACTCCGAAATTTTAGAATTTCTTTGGTCTACTCGCAATTTTTCGCAATTTTCTGAGCAATGAGTATTTTCGTTGGGCGAGATGAGATTCAATACTATAATTACGCTGAAAAATACGCGACATGCAGACGACTCCTGAATTTTCTGGACATGTCGGAAGGGTTCAAATTGTCAATTTTAAGTAAAAGCACACTCAGAAATTTGAGAATTTCTTTGGTTCACTTGCAGTTTTCGGCAGTATTCTAGGCTATGAATATTTTCGTTGGGCGAGATGAGATGCAATGCTAATTCTGCTGAAAAATACGCGACATATATTCCCATATATTACCCAAAGATAAATCATCACTTTTCAAATTTTTTAAATTTTAAACTGAAAAATGTTGAACAAAGAAAGCAAAACTGTAATTTACTCACTAAAATAACCCTCAGAAACCAATTTCTTCACACAAAACAATCTCAGGTACCTCTGAAGATTTGAGTGAAAAATTGCTATTAATTACCCGTTGATAAAGCAATTTTTTTAAATAATTCTCATCAAAAACTTCAAAATTTCTTTAAAGAAACCCAAAATATGGATTCAGCGATCTAAATTACCCCTAAAAACATACATTCTCTCATATTAGTAAGTTCAGGCGCCTCTGAGGACTTTTGACCGGCTAAACTTGGCTGCTGGCCCTCCGTGTGGCGTGGCGTGGCGTGGCGTGGCGTGGCGTGCTTTGCGACGCATCAATCGGTCCGCCATTTAAACATAGAGAAAAAGGATCGATAAACAGGTGTTCTCAACGAACATCATCATAATCGATTCTTTACCAAAGTTTCAAGTAGAAAAATACCGATAATCGAGCATTTTCGTCTTGCCAATGATCCACACAATGCGGCAGCTGAGTCTATGGGTAGAGAAGGCTGCTTTATAAGCGGGTAAATGTAAATTTCGAGAAGCATCTTGTTCAGAATTCTTCGAACTAGCTTGATTAGCGGTAACACAAGCATGTTTCATTCAAATACGTCCAACATATTGAGAGGCGAACAGATTTAGAATTCGCGGATGGATTTTCAACCACCGTTGGTTTCCATATTTTCAAGATCGGCACCGGCACTTCTCAAAGTATCATTTCATTCGTACATCCGGACGCTCTAACACCGGGAAAACTATATTACCTCCTAAGAGCATTGGGAGGCATTCTGCGTTTAGAAGAAGGTGATGAATTGGCTAGAATCAGCCTGCTGGCCACACCAGTCAGAGCCTAATGTTCGTTCGTGTGTCATTTTATTGAGAGAAAAGTAATAAATTGACTTGAGATTGTGCTAGTATATTTTTTATGGTGCAAAAGCAATTTGCAGACAATTTTAAGGAATTCTATTTCTCATCTCTCTCTGAAAAAAATATTACACGAGAAAGATCTAGGCGCCGTAAATTGGACTTCATTGTGTACTTAGGAACTGCAATGACGGACTCATCCGTAAATACATTTATAAGCACATTTTCCCATGCATGCATAGAGAAATTAATGGTTCATCCGTTGTTACTAAACTGAGCCAGAGAGTTCCTGATTGAAAAATGTAGTCAATTATGATTTTGGCTAATACCGTTCAGTTAAACCACATTTTGCAATTGGAGACTGCACTTTCTGGCGCATTCGAAAACAAAAAAAAACTTAGGTGCATAGGAAAAGCAATGGCACTTTGGTTGTTTCTAAACTGAGCCAGGAATTTCAGATCCGAATTGCAGAATGTGTTCCAGTTTATACAGCAAAGGGGGAAATAGTTCTTTGGGAGGCATTCCACTTACGAAATACAAATTTAAAGCTTAAAATTATTTCTTGGAAAGTAAAAATTAAGTTCAGTTTTCAATTGACTAATCTGCACAACTGCCTAAGACTCCTATCCATTTAAAAAATAAAATGAAAAAACCCGCATTTCTGTAAATCGATTGTACAAAGTATGATAAAACTTTCAGAGTAAAAATGAATACTTTACCTATTGTACATGAGTATATCAGGCTTCCATAGCCTGTGAGGCGGTATTCGTAAATCTCTAACATTGCCAAATTCACTGGGATTCCACCTTAAATTTACATCATTCCATTCCTGCAAGCAGAAAAATCATAATTAAAATGAAGCATACTTGAAATTCGACTTCTTAAACGAATGAACAGTATAGATTAAAAGTAAAATATAAGTAATAAATGGACTCAATACGATTTCAATTCTCTGACATTCGAGTCATGTCCATTACCTTCTCCATTTTGAATCGAAAATGTTTCAAAAAGGTGACCTAATCCCGGCGCACACGGAACTTGGAACTCGTCGACTAGAACATAACCCCAGTTCACCTCATTAATTACGACTCTGTGGATTGCATTTTGCAAAAAGGAACCAGAAGCATTGAAATGGTTCTAAGATTGGGCAACTTCATCCTTCGCAATGAAATTACAGAAATCGTGAAAAAATATGAAAATTACATGATAATTTTTGTCTTAGGTTTACAGTCTTCGCGAGGAAAATAGAAACTGTTGATGGATAATCGGGTTCCCTTCCGAGACAAAAGAAGATACACAATTTTAGCAACATTGCAATGCTCCTGGTTCCTTTTCGCAAAATACAATCCCTATGTACTCTATGGAAGCTCATACGGCGTTTTTACCTAGCAAGGCAGACTAGCCTCATTATTCAAAACTTCAAATCTAGCGCGCTCACGTCTGTAACACGGGGAGGCCGCCATGATCGATTTCCAAAGGGCATCTCTCGTGATAAAACTACGACATCTGTGCTTCACGCCTGGCACTTCTGATCGAATTAGAAATCGACATTGTTGATAAAGTTCCCGTCCGACTCATTACGAAGAGCCCGTTGACGCACGACAGGACGATAAATTAAAACCCAGCGGGGCCGGGGAGCCGGGTG